GATGTTATTTTCACTGACACAGCTAAAAATTCTGCCTGCAAGACAAGAGTCCAAGTTTGTATTTCGCTGTTTCTTTGTGCTTAGAACCCAAAAGATGAATATATATCTACATACAGGTATAAAGAAAAAGGCACATTTATATAATTGAAATTATCCAACTAAGTTGGATATGCCAACTAAATAATTCTCTGTGCTGGTATAAATATTGCTTTACAGCTACACAACTTGCAGGAATTTTTTTCTTTGCGTCTCATATTTCACATTTGTTTTCTATTAATTTAAATTCCTATTTTGATGTAAATTTAAACCAAATTTGTCTAAACTAATTAGTATACTAAGCAGTGTCTCAAACCTACTATTTTAAAGAGCAAATGTACATACTCATCTTTTATTACCATATTGTAGCATGTTAGAATGATTATGACAAATGCCACATCATGCTTGAGTCCTAGTGCCATATTCATCATGAAATATTCTCACGGTAGGAACTCCAAAAGATGAGTGAGCCTCCCTACTGTGGTTTAAGCTCTCACCCCAACAGTCTAACACATACTTCTCCAAAATTTCATGTGCTTGCGACAGAATCACCACAACAGAACACGTGCCTGAACACTCCAGTCCACTGATCAAGGCGGATTCAGGTCATGGTGCCAGAGTGAAATGCAGTGGCTGAGACACACCACATGTTCCTTCTTGCCAACACTGCTACATAAGCAAGTCAGACAGCTGGGTAAAGAAATACCACAACACTGCTGTATTCTCTGTTACTTTAGTCCTCTCCTCCTCTGCTTTTTTTTTTTTTTCCCCTATCGCCTCCTCACTTTGAAGCTATGTTTTTCCACAACTTTTTTTCCCTTGCAGTAACTTTCAATTCTCACTTCTTCCAGCATGAGTCTTCTGTACACTTTCCTGTGGAATCTGTTAACCTGATGGTCAATTAATGTTTAAGTATTATAATTCGTGCTTCAGAGGAGACAGTACAATTAGAAGGTATGGGAGTGTGTACATCATAGCCATTTCTGGCTGACTGCAAACACTGGCAAACATCAATTTACATTAAGCGCAGATTTCACAATCAGGTTTGAAAACCCTATTGTAAGCAAGTAATTCCTTAAGCAGTAACGAAGTCCGTACATGTATACTTATTCACAGTTAGTTATAAAATTTTCCTGCAATTAAATGTTTTTATAAAGCCTCTCTGCTACAACATCCAAGGTAGGTGCACTGCATTCTTCCCTCAGCTGGGCACTTCCACAGTCTGTTTCCTCTAAGCCACCTCTTTTTTTTTCCCCACAGGTTTGCTTGAATTTAAGTACCTCCAAGACCTCTTCACCTTTGTCAAACGTGACTGAAACAGGCAAAACGGTACTGGAGACAGTACCCTTAGACAGGAGACAGGCAGGAAAAGGACAACAGCCAGCCATTCAGCACGATTCCACAATCCACAAGGACTCTTACTCCTTTCAAAAACAAACAAAAATTTGGATTGTAAAATATGCACTGACATCTCATGCAGAGCACACTGTTACATCACACAATCCTACAAACTGAGTATTTGATGCCAGTGCTGGGGAGCTGAATGGGTCACTTAAGATGTTCAGTGACACTGACCCTGTACATAAGATGTTAAACTAGCAGATAGAGAAGGGAACACGTAGGCAAATACCTGAAACATGAAGAAAAGATTTTCATGTCTAATGTTACAGCTTCTATATTAGCATTGTTTTTAAAGTTCATTAAACTTTTCCAGGTTGTGCTAACATAATCAACCAGTTTCTAGAAGAAACACTGAAAAACAAGTACTAGCACCACTACAACTTCCTTCTGTATGTCTGAGACCAACGTCTTAGGAGCTTTTTGTAGCTCTTATGCTACAAAGATAATTTCTATCTTCTCCTTCAGCTACTGTAAGGCTCAATATCTTTCAACTGCTGGCAAGTGTTTGCTGGATTCTACACAACAGAAGCAAAAGTCAGAAGTACTAGATTCAATCTTTCTTTTATGGTGAGTATAGCTTTGGGCACATCTTCATTGCAGTTAGTACAGGTTACTTGACCACTTCTCAGCCATGCATAAAAACCCATGTAATTCAGTCAACTAAGACTTTGACTGCAGTTTAATGCATGGATGAGGGCAACAGACCAAGTTCTACTTTTACTGCAAAGACATTAAAAAGAAAAAAAAAGACCACACACTTTTAACCTCAGCCATTTTGCAACAAGAACAGTGGCTAAACCACTCAAGGGGAAAGGTATTTTCCAGTGCTTTTCCACAATCTCCAGCCATGTAATTATGACTACAGCATGAGGAACCATGGGACCAGTGATGTAGAGCAAAGAAGTCCAAAAAAGTTCAAAGGGATGCAGTACTAGGAGAGAGTACTACAGGAAGAGCTCTGCCATCACTATTATGAACACTGGATCAATGAACTAATAAAGTATATAAAAGAGCCAACCCTTTGTAGACAGAAGGTGCTCTCATAAGATCATCGCAAAAGGCATTGTGGCTAACAAACTAAAAATAGTAGATATCACTCCTCAGTGTACCCACACTACCTGCCAGTAGTGTAAAACGTAGTATATTGCTAATATTCAGAGCTTGAACAACAAGGATAAGATGCATAAAATATAAGTGAGTCAGCAGAAGCAAAACTTTAATTTGGATATAAAAAAGGAAATAATAAAACGTAGGACTGTGATGGAAGAGTTTTTTTCAATATAGTTCCAGACTCCTGTTACAGATTGTAAGTGGATATGGTTGTTAGGTTTCTGTAGGTACAAACTGCCTCTTGACAAAAATTGCCTATTACTGGTTTTGTACTAACCAAACTCAAGAAAAGAAAAAACAGTCTGAGAGTTATTGTAAGAGGCATGGGGAAAGGCAAGAAAAACTTGTAAGAATTTTTAGGAAGTTGTCTGGCAGTTTATCAAACCGTGGGTTGACACAAAGAAGAATTGCCAGAAAAAAAAATATATATATGTTATTACTCACCAATTATATTCATTTTGGGTATTTGGTTCGGGTTTTTTTTTTTTGCAAAATGTATGCTTAAACATGAGTATATGACTCTTGTTAAAATTAAGAAGACCTGCCTGACCATAATCACATTGTTCTGAACAACTCCACAGTAACTACCAACTGCTTCTTCACACCATCTTTGCTGAAATATTTTTAAGCACAATCTTACATTATCTGCTCAGAGTTGAAAACACTCTCACAGCAGGTATCCTATGCTAGCTGTCCCATCTCACAGCTCATGCACCAGAAAAACCTTATGCCTAGAGTTTACCCACCTCAGTGCACACAATTATGATTGGACAGATAATACCTAATTGCCATAATAATTTCAGCTTCATGGATATAGACACTTTAGTTAATCATAATAAGATTTTTAGTTGAAAAAATGGGTTTGGGATTGACCTCAACGTTAATGACACAATGTAGTCTCTGAAAATCATACATACAGAATGATGTTAAACTTGCTGCTTGGCCAGTCCAGACCTACAACTTCTATGCTGTCCAGAAGCAGAAAAGTGAGATCCCATACTGGACCTAAATCAAGAGGCCAGCACTGACACAAAGGCCAGTAGTGAACCATAGGTGAAAACACATTAGCTAGAATTGCAATAAAATGAGATCGTCCAAGGTCAAGGATCAATCTTATTGACTCCTCAACAGCCTAACCTAAAATCTAACTACCTCAGAGAACAACAGCTCCTGAAGTACATGGTGTATGACATTTTGCCATATAAACATCTTGTTATACAGCTCATGAGTTCAAGAAGTCAGACTATCCAAGTCAAAACGAAAAGCTGTGATCTCCCATATCTGAAGAAAACATTACTCCAGCTGATCAACAACCACCTGAGCAATCTCACCCAATGAGCTTACAGACAGTCACTCAAAATTCTCATGGGCCACCTCTGAAATGTCTGTTTGAGACGTTAAAGCCCCTTCGCAGCAAGATTTACGAAAACCATAAATCATTTTCCAATAATATAAAATGTAAGCATTTCCCACTGCTTGATATTTTATGTTATAATCCCAATGCAGCAAATTAACAAACTAGATGAGAGAGCGCATTTTTCCCTTTAACCATCTCTTCCCAAGATTTGGGAGCAGAAACTTTCATTTGGCCACAGAATAGGTAGAAAAGAGCACAAATGCAAGATCTTCAGCTATGAACCATCAACACATCTCTTCCACGACAAGTAGTAGCTTCTACTGACTAAGGGGTATTTCCTTCCTTAAATTCAGCATTCCTCCATCAGTGGATCTACTGAGCTACCCACCCCTCTCCAAAAGACCCCAAGGGAGCCTTATCACATCTGTGTATCTGCTCATAGCTCTAATTTATGGAGAGAGAGAGTAATGAAAAAGCAATCACTGGGAGAAGGCGCCTATCAGGACCCGGATCGATGCAAACAAGTCGAATTACATGCCAACGGGTGGAACGTGCTTGGCTGACCCGATCACGCGGGATGCCAGCACTTTTCCGGGTAACCAGAGGAGCACCCGCCTGCTAATAGGCAAGGCAATTACATGAGTAAAGTACTCGGAGAGCTGGGGACAATTCCGAAGTGGATCGGGAGGAGGAGGAGGAGGAGGGCGCTTCTAGAAACCCTGCCCTAAAAACACACCTGCACTAAAGCAACCCCGATCGGGAGGCAGTGTCCTAATGCTCTACCTCCCAGCTTTCGGCACGCTTCGGGGGGACGCCGCGCTCCAACCCCACGCACTTTTATCACCTCCACAGCCGGGATGCACCCCCTCCCTCCCCCAGACCAACCCAATCCTATCCAGCGCCTGCAGCACGGCTGAGTCTCCCAAAGCCGATTAACCCCGCTCCGCTGCCGATCCCCGCCCACGGCCGCGCTCCCGCTCCCCAGCCGGGGACGCCTCCCCGCCGCCCCCCGCCGCGCAAACCCAGCCTTTCGCCCGCCGCCCCCGGGGAGCCGGCCGGGCAAGGAGAGAGCCGCCCCGGCTCCTGGCTCACTCACCATGGTACAGATGGAGGCGATTTTGGAGACTGTCATTAGGATTTCCATCCGCCCAGCGCCATCTTCCGCCCAATCACAGCGCCGAGCCGAGGGGAGCCGGGCAGGGCCGGGCGGGAGTAGGAGGGGAAGGGAAGGGAGAGGACGGCAGGCCAGGGGGGCGGCACTCGGCGCCCCCGCCAGCGCCCGCCGCCGG